TCGGGGGCCGGCAGACGGGGCGAGGGGGGAGCGGGGGTGGCTTAGGCGGCTGCTGTGGTGGCGGGGGTGGCGCGGGAAGCGGCGGCCTGCGTGGCATGGGCGGCCGCGGAGCGGTCCTTGAGGCGGGGAAGGTGTGGGGCTCCTTCCTCCTCCCCCCTCCGCGGTGAGGGGCTGGTCCGGGCTGGGGGGGCGGTGGTGGGGGCTCGCTGGTGGCCGTGGGCTTTCCCCAGGCGGCCTGGGCTTGCTTCCCGTCAGGCTGGGCTCCCCCGGGGTGACCCCTGAGGCGGCAGCCTGAGGGAGGGTGTGCTCCCTTCCTGGTCGGGCCTGTGCCAGCCCTCCGTCTGCCTGGGGTGCTGTTAAAGGTGCACTGGTGAGTGGATTTGGTGGATTTTGTTGCTGTCTCCAGGCTCCTATGATGCCGCAGTTAAGGTCAGGGAAAGTGGTAACTGCCAGCGAGGTGAAGTCGGCTGACGGGATGGTCACCAGCCCAAGCTCTCTGGGGGTCGGGGTAGGACGTGAGCCAGGGAAAGGGTCAGTAGTCAAGCAGAGTCCTCACCTGGCATCAAAGAGAAAACCTGAGCAGCCCTTATCTTCTTGTCTGCAACCCACCGTGCTCCCCAGTGTTGCCTGTGAGGAATTTGCTCCTCTTGTGCCCATGCAGAAGGAGCAAGGTGAGAGTAGCCGGAGACTCCCAGGTAAAAAACAGTGCAGGAGGGCTGCCAGAAGCAACAAGGGTGTAGCTTTGCCAATTTCAGACACTGCTGTATGTGGAGATTGGCAGGCAGCGACCACGGCTGCAGCAGCGTGTGGGGAAGAGACTGTAAGGAGAAGGACAGGACAAGGTCAACAGCTATTTTTCTCAGGAACTACTTTGCAAAATACATTCTCAGCAGGGATTGAAAGGAAAGAACATAGCTCAGAACGACTGAACCTCTCAGGTTTCCAAGAGAGTTCAGGGAGCTCAGGAAAAAAAGGCAAATATTCCTTTATGGAAATAAAATTACAAATCCCATCCTCAGAGGAGGAAATTGAGAGCACAGAGAGACACGGTGTTTTGTGTTTGGCAGAACCAGAGGTGCTGCAACCCAGAAAGGGCACATGTAGTACTGAAATGAAAAGCACTGACTCTATAACAATACCGAAGATGCAAATTCCAGATCTTAAGAAGAATCTGGGGACTCGGGAATCCTTGTCTGAACCAAAACCTCAGGAAGAGGTAGATACACCAGGGAAGTTGGATGGGTGTTCTTTAATTGGATCAAGAAAGCCAGGGACACAGGAGAAAGGAAAGAGATGGTTGAGCAAGAAAGGCAGGACATCTTTGATGAAACCAAAACTACAAGGTCCCAGAGAGATGAGTAGATCTGCCTTGCTGGAGCTGCATACACAGTGTCCAGAGTCCAAGAAAGGAGCTGTGAGTCTGAGGAAGAGGGACAGAGACGCACTGGTGTCACAGCAGCTACAGGGTCTGCATAGCCAAGAACAGCCAACAGCCAGAGGAAAGATGCACAAGCATTGCATGGAAGAAGAGCAGCAGAGCTCAAAGCCTCAGAAAAGAGCACACAGCCTGGGGGAAAGTGGTAAGCACTCGTGCCCCATTGTAGAAGTACAGGTGCAGAATTTGGGTTCCCAGGACAAAGGACTGGTGCTGCAGTAAGATCCCATTAAAAAGTGAAAAAAATAGGGGATTATTTTTCTTTTGCAGATGTGTTTGTGTGGGACAAAGTCATGTGGGCAGGAGCAAGTGGCCTGTACCCTATCTCAAAGTGACTTAGTATGTGGCTGCTAACTTAGCTCAAGAAGTGTAGAGATAAGAGCTAGGGTCTGCTTTACAGTATTGTGAATACCAGTCTTAGAAGAAAACAGCTTTTTAGGAAGATGAAAGGCTTTTCTTGAAAGAGAAAAGCAGTTCTTTAGCACAGAGGAGACCAGATACTGTTGGGGGGGGAGGAAGGGGTATTGGCAGGAACAGGCCCTGAGTAAGAAATTTTTTTCTTTTTTTTCTCCTCAAAAGTGGTCAGTTCACTTATGCGTAGAAGGTCAGGCACAAGCGGGAAAGGAAGCAGTAGTTTCAGCAAAGCTGAAATAAAATATAGTCAATTCTTCATTCATTTGTATATTATTTGGTTATTTTTGAATATGTGCTATCTTGTTTTAGTGCTTGCCTTTATAGGGTGCTGGTTTTTGTTTTCAGAACTTTTTGCTTTTTAGTTGCTATTCTCTGCAAAATCCTAAAAGATGTAGAAGCAAAGATTGTATTTTGGTGCTTTAAGGGAGTGTTGTATCAAACTGGAACAATTTGGAAGAGGATTTTTTAAAGTCTCTTTCTTTCTTTCAGGACAATTGTATAAAAGACATTCCTTTTACTTTCAAAGTGGGTACATTCAAATGACAAATATTTGCTGTAGGTTATTATTAATAAATATTTTATCTAGAAACCATATTCTGAAAAACTGAGGTATTAAAATTGTATCTTTCTTACTTTGAAAACTAAGATCTAAAAAAAAAACCCAACATTCTACTAGTACATTCTTGAGTCCATTCTCCAGATGAAATTTTCAGATGTACAGTTTTTTACATAATCTGTATTTGCTTTTAAATAAAAAGTAGTACTTTATAAAAATGCAAGTCCTGCAGTGTTACTGGATCTTCTTGAACAGTCTGATGCATTTGGTTGGACTATATATCTGAAATAAACTACTATATTCTTGTGAACAAGCTTTCCTAGTACAGAGAATCTACAGCATAAACAAAAGATTTTAAGGCTGAGTGTGCAAACAGCATCTGCATTTTCTTGTGAGACTTGCTCTAATTTGGTTTCCACCTATGTTTTAAATACACAACTTCCAATGTCCTTATGACACCTTAAGGTTCTGTTCATCTTCATGTTTGTTTCTGAAGACAAAGGATTTGTTACTGTAAGTCTGCTAATACTGCTCATTTAAAAAAAAAATTGGTAAAACTTTACAGAAATGTTTTAGCCTTATACAGTGTCATGTTCGTTAGTAGCCTTGAATGTTTCTTGTTCTCTTTATAAAACATTGCAATAGGGTATTCTTTTTCCCTTAGCGTATTCTTTAATGACACTTCTTTGTTTTTTAATCAGCAAAGGAAAAATGGAAAGCAATTGAGCAAGACTCCAGTCCACAGGCTGTGAAGAAGCTTAAGACAAATCAAAACAGGTCAGAAGATTCCAAGGAAAAGGAACCTCACTACGCTAGATCTCCTGCTTTAGGTGGGACTCAAAGCAAGAACTTTCTATGCCATCCTGTAACAAAAAAGTCTGGTGTGCAGTATAAAAAAAGGAAACCCAGAATTGATCAAATCAAGTGCTTGCAAACTTGTAGTGTGTCTACAGCTGAAAAAGTGAGAAATGTACCTGCAAAATGCGATGCTGAACATTGTAGAAATGCCCTAAGCCATTATAACGGCTTGCTCTGTGCAACAGAAAAGAATCCATTTGTGAGATTAGAGGCCTGTAGTTACATCAATACATTTGTGAAGTCTTCAGCTAGTGGAACTACCAGCAGTTATAAATTAAGTGGATTCTTCCATGTAGCCCAGGATAAAAGAAAGCATGTTTTTCCTGATGGTACTGTAGAACAGGGTGATATGAATTGCAGCACTAGTAGAATGCAAAATGAGAGATCATCCATAAAAGGTGGTTTATTGTTTAATAAAGAAAAACCTCAAAATGGAGAACGGTGTTTTTCATGCTGTCAGAGTGAAAACAATAAGTGTTCAAGGGGAAAAAAGTGGAATATTGGTAGAAAGCCTAGAAAAAAGATGAAAATCACTGAGAAATCAGCAGTGCAGAATATTTTCACGGACATGGCTAATGAATGCAGTGAGTGTGAGTTACAAACAGAAGCGGCAGTTGCCATGTCAAGCTCCTTTGCAGTCTTAGGACTAAATCATAAAGAAGTTGCTCTGTCAGCTTCACATGATCATCTTCACATAGGAAAAAATACTCATGAAGCACAAAATATATCAGTCTGGAGAAAGAATAGTACCAAATTACTTGAATTTGAAGATGGCTTTAAGAAGACATCTAAGCCCTCTGTAATGGCTAAAGGAGAAAATTCAAACAGCGTGGCACATCATTCTGCTGCTTCAGGTAGCCTGAGAGTGCTAGCTCAGTTCCATGATGATTCCAATTGTCACAAAAGCAACACAGATGAAAAACTGAAGAAAGTTAATAAGAAAGCGCAGCAGTGTACCTGTCAAAGAACAGTACCTATGACTGGTAAAAATGCGTGGCCTTTGGAGTCTTGTGCCAGGACTTCTGAATGGGTGCATAAAAATCATGGGTCCATCTCAGAAGGAAAAAGACTTCTAAGGGCTGCCTTCAAGGAATGCTCTGATAAAGGCAGTGTTAAAGCTGTAGGAAACAGTGCTGTGACTGGGAATTTGAGACAGGTGGACTTGCATACGTCATCAGCAGAAATTAACAAAGAATCTACGCATAAAATAATGGATCCAAATACCAAATGTCTGGCTTCACTTGAAACACCAGAACCCTCTTCTGTGGATATTTATGAGACTTTGAGAATAAGCAATGAAAATGTGGAATCACCTTTTAATATGGATAGAAGTGCCGCAGCTTTTAGCCATGATGATGTGCAAGAAGTTAAAGCAACCTTGAATTTTACAACAAAACAAAAAGATAAAAATAAAGGAGCTGTGACAAAAAGAAACCTGTCAATGACAGTACAGAATGGTACACCTACAGGTAACACAAACAGAATAAACTTCAGCCGTAAAGCATCGGTAGTGAACCAGACATTTTATGATTTAAAGCTAATGAAAGTATTAAACACTGGAAACCTGACAAAATTCAAAATTCCTTTATGCAGAAACAAACCTGAATCCAGGAAATTGGAATCTGTCCGTTCATTTGAAAGAAAAACCTGTAGTCCACTAGAACTTCTTGACAGCACTAGTGTTTCAAGAAGGCGGAAAACAGGTGAAGAGACTTTTTTGGTAAATTCTGAACCACAGCCTCTTCCTATTGCAAGTGATACTACATCTGTAGCATCCATGAAGAAAAAAGCGGATGAGATCAGCAGTAAGGACTTTCGGCATGATGGCTCTGAAAACCTTTCAAATGAGATGTCTGCGCTCCCTGAACATTTTTCTTTATATCCGTATCCTTTTCTTGACAAACTAGAGTCATCTGTGCCTGATTTCCGTGGTACTGAATATGTACTAAAATCTAATTTTCCTGATCATTCTTGGAATGCAGTTGATCTCCCTGTTGCATTAGAAATAAATGATGATAGCAAATCAAGAGGGAATCTTTCACAACACAAAAGTCAAAATTTTCTAGATATTATTGAAGCTTACAAAGAAGATGTTCTTGTCATTGATGTGATTCAGGATGACCCTGACCTTTTTGGAACCAATAATGGAGAGGAGCTTGCACTTGCAGACTCTGAAAATTGTCCTGTGAAGGTGTCCTATACTAGCATCTGCATTAAAGACAAAAAGCAGGATCTTAAGCCTGAATATCCTGCTATCTCAGAAAACGGAGATTCAGTAGATGATAATTTTAGGTATGCATAGCATTCTTTTTATTACGATAATCCTAAGTACTTTGTTCTCATAACAGTATACTTTGGTTGTAGTGGTCAGGCTTCCTTACAGAATTTCACTAATTTCTGGGTTGATTTTAAGTGTCAAAATTTGATTGAGGTATGAAAGTATGCTGAATGCAAATCAATTAATTCGTTCTTCATAAGAACTAGGATAAACTCTGAGTCAAAGGAAAATGTAGTCCTAAAGAATTGGTTTAGACCAAGTGAAGTGAAATATGAAAGTAGAAACAAAGCTAATTAAAAGCGATATTCTTAATAAATAACTTAATATTTTTAAATATCTGACTTGAGATAGCAGATATCCCTTTGAGGGTAGGTTTTTAGTTGTAAAGCGGTATAATACTTAGAAATATTTTTTACTTTCTAGGTGTAGCTTATTCTTTTGCTGGGTCTGTATGAGTAAACGGTTGTCTCTACAGTAATATTCCATTCTGCCATTCTCCTTCCCTGCTTTTCTTCTATCCCCAGACATGGGAATATTTTTCAAATCTGTAATTTGGCTAACACATTTTAGATGTTTATGATCCTGCATCTTCATTCAGCAACTTCCTGGTGTAAATTATTAGGCATTAATGTTTTTCTGTGTTTTGACATGATCATAAAAGTCACTGAAGGGGGAAGAGAAGTTTAAAGTAGAAAAGAACTTTTGTAAAAGAGGTAGTAGTCCTTCGTGGGATAGATGAACTCGTCAAATGTCTAGTCTGTTTTCTCTCTAAGCTTTGATATTTCTGTTTAATAAATGAGTTTTAAGATTAAATTTTTCATCTTATGAAGAAAAACATAAAGCTTAGACAGAAATAGTACAAGATTTTCCTCTGAAGATTAGTTTTTTTATTGAGAGGGGTGTTTTAATTTTCTTCCTTTGCTCTTTCTGGGTGGCTTTATGTTATCCTTGTTTTAAATAATGTTTTAATTATTTTCAACATCGTACCATCTTATAACTGCATTCATATTTTTTTTAACTCTTTACTCTCCTTATCCTTTCCCCTTCATTAAACCCATGTGCAAAAGAGGAAGGGAATCTTCTTTGAGGTGCTGAACAGGTTTTTAGACATGAGAATATAAAACTTTCAGCTGTTAATAGAATAACACTTCTGCCAAAACAAGCCTCTGAAGAACAGGGCAAGTCTTCAGTAGGAGCATCCAACTTCTTAAGAAGCAGCTAGCCTGTATCATAGTAGATTTATTAGAATGAGTATTCATTTTGTGTACGGTGTATATTACATCTTATATACACTGTATAACGGAATGAGTATGCGCTGTGTATTACCCCAGGGTAATAATGGCTGTTCAGAGATGGTTTCCAACTGACTGTCCAGACAGCTGTTGCACAGAATGGAAGACCAGAACTTCTGAGCCCTTGACACTCATGTATTGGTTATCATAGTAAAGTTTTGCTATTTGTGTAAGTACTAACTGAAAATTTTATTGGATCTTATAAGTACTTTGTAGGGAGGAAGAATATTCCCTTTAATTAGTAATGACATTGAGTTAGAGTAACATCACAGCCATTAGACAGATGAAGTCTGAGCTTGTTTGAAGTCATATTTCAACTTTCTTCCTGGTATCTGCTGAATTTGCTTGCCATCAGCCAAGGAAAATAAAAATGCATGGTTCTTATTTCTTAGAATTTCCCATTAATTTGCTAAAGAAGCCAGCAAAATTGTCTATTTTTGCTTTTTACCTGCCATAATTTAATGCAAAGACCATTAGACGCTGACTAATCGTAGTTGGTAAGTCAGGAACATATTAATGAACTGAATATGAGAATATTAAAATAAGGCAATAGACCTTATCACAGTTTTATCAGGTAGCTTATGATATCACCAGATAATGGCCAGTTCCTACTGTTGTTTTTTATTTTGTTAGTATTTACCAGATACAACTGGGACTTCAACTTCGTTTGGCCCACCAAAAAAAGTGATTATGCTGGTAGAGTTATGCTCGCATCATACTACGTATTTTAAAGTAAAATATTGTTTCTGTTAATGTCCTTTTTTTTTTGTTACAGATATTCTAGAGTATTGTCTATGTTTTCTTGTTTGGCTTCTTTTTTTATGCATACTCGGTTTTGCTTCATTGCAATATTAGTTTGTAACGCCACTTCAATCTGTCCACGTAGAACAGCGAGTCAGAACTGCACTGTTGTAAACCATTGTATAAATATTAGTTTAGATGCATGTTTTGTTTAACATTTGGTTAATGTTAGCCATTACACTCTACATGAATGTAATCTAGGTGATTTTAAGTAGAAGAGCAATATAAGCACTTAATGGCTGCACATGGTGGTTGTTGCCGAATGTTTTCTTTAACTGCATCAATACGTAGCTTTTGTTATGGTTTCCCTTCAGATTAATAAGAGTAGGCAGATGATGATAGAAAGAATCTGAATCTTTGCTAAAACTGTTGTAGTGCATGTATGCGTGGGGATGGACTTCAGTACATTACTTCTTGGGTATTGATATTTTAGTCTGGCATTGGTAGACTAAAAGTTCTTACTGCCCTGTACTTCTGCTAGCAGCAAGTTATTCTGAAAAGTGTAGCTGGGTTCTTAAAAAGCTTTTTAAAATGTGTTGAGTGTTACTTATGAGTTTAATAGCAGTTAAATTGTAATTGTAAAGGAAACGATTGGTGCCTTAATTTGTGGTGTTCTTCCAGCTACAAAAATCTTAGATCTAGCAGCTTGTCAAAATGACAGTTGCTATAATGAAGTAATACTTTTTATTCAAGCTTCATTGTGAAACCAAAGCACTGAAACTGTGTGGAGGATGTATGAGATTGAGTCAGTAACTGACAAGTATTCAGTGGCAACTATTAGCCCCTGTGGATGTGTGACTATTACTGTGGATCCATTTTGTTTGAGCTTTGAATTTAAACACCAGGACATGTTTAGCCAATGACATTTTTCATCTTTGACTATGACCTTAAAAGCCAGAGGGGTATTTTTAGTTATGAAAATTCCAGGATAATAATTTTTGGCTTCCACATTTCAGATAATGAGAGGACATATCCTTCAAAAGCAGAACATACTGGTCACAACAGTGATTGAGGTCCAAAAATTCAAATAAGGCTTGTTTCTTTTTTTTTTTTTTTTTAAAAAAATTAAAAAAACCCCCAAAAAAAGAGGGCCCCAAAAACCCCCATCCTTCAAAAGCAGAACATACTGGTCACAACAGTGATTGAGGTCCAAAAATTCAAATAAGGCTTGTTTTTTTTTTTTTTTTTTTTTTAAGCAAACTGACAAAGCACCCAACAATGAGAGGCACCTAACATCGCTACACATATCTGACTTAAAGTTTCCCAACTATTGTAATTGCGCTTGTGCACGTGCCCAGAACTGATGTCTCTGAATAAGTAGGTTTAAGTAGGACAAGGAGATCTTGTCTCTTAATCCAGGAAGATTCAGAAAAGGCTCTGTGTGTGTATGTCTTGAATGGTTTGATTCAGTTAGCATGCTCTGACCTTTAGGATAAGTAGGACTGGTTATTTCTCTGGTGGTTGCACTTTAAGAAGAGAAGAGGGAGTGCTGGTCACTTCCAGGCATTAGTTGCCACTCATCAAGGAGAGGATTGTGGACCTGCAGACTGAGTGGGGCAGCAAAACTCAGTTTTCACATATACTTCTGTTTGCCATTTTCTGTTGCCTGCCTCTGTGTGACTCCTGACAGTGCAGGTTCTTGAGTCAATCATCTGAGGTATTTATTTCCTCTCATGCAGGGAATCTAGACACTTAACTTTAAGTGGCATCCAGTATGTCTTTTCATCCCAACAAACTAGTACGTTCAGTGGATACCTTTGAAAGCACATCAGCAGCCATTCTTGCTCTTAGGAGACTTCTGCATTTTACTGTTTTCCTCTTGAATAAAAAGTCCAAACTTGAATCCATTTTTCATATGCAAAATAGCAAACTGAACACTGTGGTTTGTGTAACTTGTGCTGTAGAGAGAGGTTTGTTTAAACTTAATCAGCAGCAGCATGCAAGAGCATCCCACATTCTGACATGCTCTAGTCTGTCTCCATTTCTAGATCTCTAAAGTGTGTTGACTTCTGGTTCTGTCTGCGCTCCTAGATTTGTCAGGCTGGTGAGCAAATGCCAAGTACTGTAATAAATGTAGTTTTCTGTATGTGTTTTAGGCACCTTCTTTACAAGAACTTAGCTTCTGTAACTATTTCACACTACACAATTAGCAGAATCTGGTAAAGATTTGGAAGTGGCTTTTGACCTGAACATGAAGACTTCAGTCTCTTGATACTGTTAAATATTTTCAGTTTCAAGCGATGTTTATGGAGATGACAGCTTTCTGGAGCTGTCTGCACTGCAATTTTATGAAAAAGAAAGTCAATTGTTGTTGTAGGCAAAATCACTCAAACTTTGTATTTCACATAAAATGTGGGGGAGAGAGGCAATAAGCCTACAGAGAGCCTGCGTCTAATAAAAATCCCTCTTTTCTCTGCAAACTTGCTGTAACTTATTAAACCCTGCTTCTCAAAATATCTTGTGTATATACATGGATATCTGTGCCTGAATGTATAGTTCCAAGTTACTTCTTGGGGAACTTCTTCCTTTCCACTAGGTTGTTGCAAATGTTCATTGTTCCATTTTACTAGGCAGCTTGCTGTCATTATACTTGGTGTCGTTCACCAGGTACGAGCTTCCAGAAATCTGTGATGACAACATTGTTATTTTATATATTCTATATATAATACTTTAACATTTATTTTTACCTTCTGAGCTTTTCTAAGGAGAAATACTTATTTTTTTCCCAACTTATCTTTAAAATAGGTGAAGTAAGTATCTTTCTGTGAACAAATGTTTGTTACCGTCTTTGAAATTCATTGTTATGCAAATTGTGTTGAATATAAAATTACTATAAATCACATTTTGTAGGAACTGATGAATTGGCTCATTAGCACAGTATTTCCATTATTTGCTATACAGAGAAGATTTCCCTTCTCAGTATTTTAGGTAAAGGTGAAATGAGATAATGAGCTTTTAATGACAAATTTTGGGATTTGAAATGTCTTCATTTTACTTAATGTGTTTAGGTGTATATCTGTGGGGATGGACAAGAAGCCAAAAGAGAGATTTAAGAACAGTCTTAAAAGTGTTGTACGTAAGGATTCTGTCCATAGATAAAAGTATTACTGAGAACTTTAATTTTACGTAACTGGTTAGATTAATTCTGCTTTTGTGCAAAATGGAAATCTTAAATACACTTTTTGTTCAAAACAGACACATTACCATACAAGAATCTGGAATGTCAAATGCTACTGAAAATTCCTGTGATGGGGTGCTAAAAGGTAAGACTCTTTGGAGATTTTTGGAATGCATAATCAAGAGAAGAAAGTAACCACAAAGATGTTCAGTGGCAAAACCTAGGCTCTCTACTTTCTGCATAAAATGAGGACTTGTCAGTTCAGTAATACCTTTTTATTGTAACAGTGATTTGTTTCCTAATGCATATAAAATGGATGTCTTTTGAAATGGTACAGACCTGAGTCTTACAGGGAACATCTACTTCTCTGTAGTACTTGTCTGTTGGTAGTACTGGGTTGGTTGGGTTTTTTTTGGTTGTGCTTTTTTGACATCTCTCTGATACTTCAGGCAAGGAATTCTGTTAGTTGATGAGATGATAGTAAGACAGAGTACTGTGATAGTATTTTGGAGTCTGACTCATAATCTCACTTGGTTGTTCTCTTGTGTTTATCTGCAGACAGAATTTTATAATAGTTTTTTTTCCAGGTTGTACTTTTGTTTTTTGCAGATGCTATGCCCATTCCTCTGACAAACTGTTTTGTTTCTTAAGGATGCTTATTTTTTTCAGAGAAGGATACCTCTGACTTAATGGTTTTTTCTTCCTGTTTTAAGCAGAACAGTCCCAACTAGGCAGCATCTGAATGTGATTTTTTTTGTTTTCTACAGCTTGCATACAGACCTACAATGCGAGGTATGTCTGATGTGGAAGTTTCTCTTAGATAGGTTGGAGGAACAGGATTTGGGCTTTGAACAGAAGCCCATTACTGACACACGGGAGAAGGCACACAGTGCTGAGACTGTTTTGAAGGTTCTCGGTGTTTCCCGTTCTGGTGTCAGTTTGTCAGCTTGCTGTTAATCTGGCGCTCTGGCATTATGTATTGATTTTGCTGCAGGCTTGAAAAATGTCTGTGACAGTACCTCTTGTGCTGTTTTTTCATATTAATGTCTTACGTTCATGTAGAAAGAGTGAGTGGTTTGGGCAGATGTAGCCTCCTGGAGAAAAAGGAGTGAATAGTGACTGTTTGGGGGAGAGAAGGTTTCATGCTTCAGTGATTAGAAGGCAAATAAAAGGTAATGGGAGTTAAGAGCTCGGACACCAAGAAATAGACACAAGTTCCCTGAGGAGGAGTAGGGAGGAAGTACACAGTTAGGCTTCTGGTGATGTGAAGAGCCAGAGAGGCCTGTGCCATGGCATCTGCAGTACTGAGGTGATTGAAACCAAACCTGGGAGCGAGTCCTGTCCTGTTTAGTATCTTCTGCATATTCTTAGACCATTTGTTGTTTTACTTAATGTTCTAACGAAGTTTGAGGCTAGAAGTCTTTGCGTGTTTTTGTGGTGCTCAAAATAAAGAAAAAGGTTTAAGTAGGTCCTTCTTCCTAAATCGGAGAAACTTAGGATCACATCACACTCTTAGATGAATATGCACATGGTAGCTTATGTTTGATGTATGACTTCTTAAAAAGACCTGTACAGAACAAAAGAAAGGTACCTGGGTTTGGTAATTACTGACAATTTATGTATTTATTTTGAAATACATATCACTGCTTTGGTGTCTTATGTAGTGAGGTCATGGCTGCTTGTCTCAGTGGCTTCACAGTCTAAGGGCAACAAATACTACAGTTAAGGTATTCTGGATGACATCAATCCTCTTCATCTTTCAAGTGGAAGTCTTAACGTACATTGTCTTCAAGCAGATGTGTCTTGTACTAATGATCATACAGAGACCAGTGGCTATAAGATAAAAGCCTTTCTGATAATAATCTGATTCTTTCTTCCTGTATCTGGACAACGCAGTGCAGCTGAAATTCATTCATGTGATCCAATGAAATAGTGAATTTCTTTTCTATGCAGAGCTCTTTCTATTGTGCATAAACAGCTGCTTCAGAAAGCTGCAGTCAGGTGTTCTGTTCATTTCCTGTGGCATCTGCAAAAGGTGCTGAAATTTCCTGACACTGAATTCTCATTGAGTTTACTGTATTACAGGAATTTGGAGTTTCTCAGAGTTATCTATATTTAGTTCAGGGTTGCATCATGTCGTTCCGATTAACTTATCCCCTTCTCCAGCAAAGACTAGGTCTTTATTTGCTTAGCAAATTACCATACATATCTTTGGCTGTGTTTTAATAACAAAGCTTAACTGAATTTATTTCTAAAATGCTGAATTCAATGTTATATAAATAAACCTGTTGTACTGTTCTATAGGGACTATTACAGAACATACAGCTTGGATAGAATTTTAATTGCAGCTTCAGTTTAATAATTATTTGAAGTGGTTCGTGCTTTAAAGGTGAAATAATTTTACATATAAATTTCACATTTAGGAAGTCCTAGGAGTTCTTAAATGTCGTTAGTATTAAGGCTTTGTAATATTTAGGAAATAAAAGCTTTGTTGTCTTGTAGCATGGGAAACACATAAAGTAATGTGTTTATACATTTTCAGCTAAAGATATTAAAACCCACAACTCCTCCAGAGGAAGCAGTCCTTTGGGAGGTGTTACTGAGGACTTTCTTGAAGAAGGGCAACTGAGAGAACTAGATGAACTTTTAAAGAGTTTTGACGTGGATGAAAAGGTACTGAGAAATCATGCTTTCTGTCACTAAATAGTTTAAGAAATTATAGTCCATGTAATTGGATAATTTTAATTACTAATGCTGTTTTGTGAACAAAATTTTTAATTTGCTGTAATAAAGAGAATATTAGTGTTTCATAGATTACCGTGCCATTGACAATGTAAGTTTTGCTTGACAGAACTTGTTTTTTTTTACCTTGTCACTACTAATTCATCTTCAAATTTGAAATGAAACAAGATATTGTTATATCAGTTGTTACAGTAATTCTGTATTACCAATTGTATGAAAATTACTGTTCAGTGAACACCTAAGAGTGCTACTGTGCATATATGACATTTTTACATAACATACCTCGTTTTAAAAGTTGGTGTTAAATGCTTCTTAGCACACAGTCTCAGAAGGATGGGGTGGTGTTGGAAAGCTGGGGAGCTGCACAGCCATCATGCATCCAAGGATCATTCTGTGGCTCATTACTTGGGCAGAAGGGCTATTACATTAACATACAAACTTCCTGGCAATTCAGAGGGAATGTTAAGCCATTTTCATGCTCACTGACTTTATCTGACCCTTCTACCCTCTCTGTCCTCCTTCCTCTAGATAATAAGTTTAGGTCTTTTAAGACTTGCTGAAGTTTTTTTACTGTTTACTTCTTTGATAATGGACTGGAATTTACATCTCTGCCACTCAGACATAGCTGCTGATAGCATTTACTGTTTTCCACTACTTCAAGAGTGGATAATGGTTTTAACTGGATAAGTTAAACTGTAAAATTCACATGGCAACTGGTAAGTAATTGATAAGGTAATCAAAGAGTAGGGAATCAGTTTTCCTGGCAAAATCATTATTTAAAAGCAGAATAGAAACACTTTCTTCAGCAAATGGAATTGAGGCTGCTAATATCTGATTCACAAAGTGATCAGCACCATTTTGTTCCCTGACCTCTTAGAGAGGGTAAAAGAGTCTGTCATACAGTATAGGTTACTGGAGGTGTAGTACTTGTTGCAATATTGCCAGGTCAGTCCCAGTTGGGCTACTTCATTGTGTTATGGCTGTATAAAATCAGTGTCCTAATGTTTGCTTTTCTGTGCTGTGTTGGACAGTAAATAAGTACAACTAATTTCACCCAAACCTCAAACTTCACCAAACTTAAGCCACAAAATACATGCTACAGCCTTAAACCTATTCCTATTCCTGTATGTGGATGGAAAACTAGCTGTGCAGACCTGGGGAGGGAGTGGAATGGCAGAACACTTGTTGCAAGTATTCTACTGTTTGGGGTGATTTTGGGGTTTTGGTTTTTTGATGGCTTTTTCAACTAATAATGCTGTGAGAAGGACAAAAACTAACCATGGGGAAAACCCTAAAAATATTTGGGGAACTGGTAAAATGAAGTTTAGAAATCCGATGAGAGCATATCCATCTGTAATTCTTTGGCTATCATAAATTTGTGATATAATGTGAAGTTCAGGTTACTTCATGAATAATGGAAAAAACAAAGCCAGGATTCCCTGACTTTGTCTATATCAGTCCTTTCAGATTCTCACCCGCAAATATGTTAGGTACTGTCTTTTTTCTCCATATCTTTGGGGATTTTTTCCCTATACATGGTGGTGTACAGCTGAGCAAAAGCCTTAGATTTCTCCTCGATACAGCTTTAAATTTTCATTAAACTTGATGGAATGTCTTTTGTGGGTTTCTACAGGTCTGTCAGGTGCAGTTAAAATTGGGCAGTGGGCCTAAAAATTGCTGGGATTATCAGTGGGAGCAAAGAGAAGTGAAGACAATCATGTCACCTTTTTTCCAATTAAAAATGACTGTTTTAAAGATCACAGAGTATAATGGCAGTGTATCCATTTGAAAAGATAGTGTAAGAGTAACCCTACAGTCCAAATTACAGTTTTTACAGTCAAGACTGTATTATCACACCTTCCAATGATCACTAACAGTTTTAAGTCTGTAGTGTAAAGCGTAACAGGCTTAGTAGTGCTTTGCTGTATCTGAAAGTAGACTTTAAATATCTTCACAGTTCAGGTTTGCAGATGGAGTGCCTGATGTTAAACAAGAAAAAAAGGGCGAAGCTGAAAAAAGGTATATATACCATGTCCTTCATGTAACCTGTGATGTTCCCCAGTTACTGTACAAATGAAATGCGATGTTTTTACTGAAACACCATCAGCATTTTAATTCATTTTTTCTACGTTATTGTGACTATGCGATGAAGAAAATAAATATGTAAAATAATATAATTTCATGCAAAGTACAAGACAAGTATAGTCATAGCCTGACAGGACAACAGAGGTTGTTTTGTCCTCTGGCTGGTGACGAAATATATCCACTTTATGCCAGTGTCTCACCTTGGCATCTCAATGTGAGTATAGCATAAGATGCATTTCCAGCCACAATAGCGCTTACCAGAACTTTTAAAAAAAAAAAAAATCAATGAAACTTTCAGGTTTCTTTTGTGCCTCTTGGGACTTTAGAAATTGATGAAAGAATTGAAAGATCTCATTCAAATTCTGGCTGACAAATATTTGAACAGCAGTAGAAAAAGGCGCTTAGAAACATGGCATGTGGAGTTAAGCACGTGCTTTACTGTTCTGCTAGCTTCAAGCTGTGCTTACGGTGTTTATTGTACATATGACTTAAAGTGTCAGACTTAGAAACTTCCATTCAACATCAGCCCAAAAATGAAGGAGAATTAGACTTTGTAGAAAAAGTATATTTAACTGATGGAATACTTAAGTAATTAGAAGAGAAATAACAGATATCAGCGTCATTTTCACAATAATCAAGAAACCTTAGCTGGCATAGAAGAGGGTATTGCTTTTCTCCAGCACCAGTCACATTTCTGTGACAGACTTCAAGTGTACCAGAAGTCCGTTAAATGGAGAATATTGCCTCTTTTCATTAATTCACTAGAGAGCTCCAAGCTCCTCCTCCTGGTAAAACACCCATTTAAATTTACCTTAGTAGCATAAATAGTTTTTTATGCTATAGAATAAGTAGATTAAGCTGAATAAAATGTTTGTGCAAGTGATATTGCATTACTTCACTTCCTTAGTTGAAATGCAGCACTCTCTGCAGTTAGAGAAGAGGCATTTATTCCTTCATTTGGAGTCAAACTATTTTCTCTAGTTTTACTCAAAAATGTTACCATTGCAAAGTTTCATCTAGAAGAAAACATAGTTACTGTTCTTATTTAGCAAACTCCGCTTCTAGTGATGCTGTTACTTAAAAAAAGAAATTGACTGTAGAGCTATATAGTTTACAGTTCCTGGCAAAATTGTGTGTAGTTTCATGTCTAGATTAAAAAGAGAGCTGAGATTGTTACCCTGAAGGTAAGCTGCTATGAAAATCCTATTGTGTCAGATCTGAGGCTGGCATCACAAGGAAGCATAAAAAAAATTTTTACATAGTAACTTGAAAATTCTGAGTAACTAGATCTGTAGGTTTTTTTCCTCTGGAGACTAATAATCCATTGACTAAAATAAAAATAAAGATGGATACTGAAGAATTTGGGTTTATTAGATAGAATTTATTCTTCTCTGCCATAGCATTTTTATTTCAAACTGTATTAAAAACAGCGTGTAATTTAGGAAAGATTTGAATTATCCTGGCCATGAGAAGTATTAAATAGCTAGAATGGTCCCCTCATAGGGGATAGCAAGTCTATTTCTGTCTCCAAACAGCAAGCAGGCTGAAATGTCCTTTGTACGGAACCTAGATTCTTAATTGAAGGCGGGGAGGGGAAGAAGATCTCATGAAAGGGGATTAGTTTTTTCTGTGGCTTTATTTACAAATAAGAAAGAGATCACTAAGTATTTTGCTAGTAATATTTGTAGTTTATTTTGGAAAACATCACATTTTAGTAGTTTAATTATCTGGAATGTACATATATGGGAATAGTTAAGGCAGAACAGTCTTTAATTGGAGTTCTCTTTGAAATCACCTAAATCTTCTGTCAAGTAGAGTCGGTTATTAGGAAAGAACAGTTGGCTCTTCAAATTTAATTTCAAAAGCTTTGTGGATTACTTCCTTGGCAGATATTACATAACAGACTACTGAAAAATAGATGCTTCTTCAGAGGTGACAGAAATCATCTCAGTCTTCCTGTGAGCATAATGAAAAAAAATAGAAGTGGTTCACGGGTGCCTTTTCCACTTACTTATTGAATTTCATATAATTACACTTTAGGACAGAATAATCTCCGCTAAGGTCATAATCAGATTGGACCAGGCAGTGAGAGTAATGAAAGTAAAGTTGGGACTGCTAGCTATTTAAATTTACAGCAAGTTTTTAAGTGTTGTGTAAATTGTTGAAGAAATTCTCATCTTTTATGCCTTAATCCCCCTTTTTAGGTGTTTAGTATATGGGAGAAGCACCTGTTTAATTTGGTTAAACAAATTTTTATTTTTTAATACTCAACAGTGACTGTAAATACAAAGATCTTGTGAACTGTGAATTGCTATCAGGATTGCCATTGCATGCCCCCAAAGTAAATGTCCTCAGTGAAGCTACAGTGATGAAGCCCCGGACAAATGGTATCGTATGCTGTATTGGTAAACCCTCCAGAATTTATTTTTACATGTGTTTTGTTTACATATAAAATCTTAAGGAATTTCCTCGGTTCCTAAAGGCATTGGCTGGAATTTGTTTCAGTTTGCATACATAGAAGCAAAAATGCAAGCTCTCGTGATAGGTTAGTGAGGTTGGTTGGGTTGGGTTTTTTAGCAGAATCCTATTTGGTAGGGTCAAAGAGCAATCATTCTGTCTTGGTATTTATGGCTCTCAGATGATTTAATAGTACAGCAATGCCTGCATTCTTAGTATTTTGACACATTGTGTTTGAGCCATGTTATTGGCAAGTAACTTGTTTTTTTTTATTTGTGGTCAGAGAACGTGACTGCAGATTTTCTTGGTTGGTTATTATCTGTCAGCAAAACTTGGCTAAGGGATTTGCCCACCTTGCCGAAGGTCAGAACTTTGTTGTTTACGCCAATTCAAATGTTTGTGAGGCATTCACTAGACTGAATCAAGGAAATTATCTAGATTTAATAAGCAGCACTTCATTTTGATCTGGTGTATTTCACACCTGGGACAGGTACCTCTTCAGTGTCTCTGCTGCCAGAGAAATCATAATGTAATGGAACTGTAGTCAAAGTTTCCTTCTCTTTTTTCTCTGCACATAACAACTCTGACATTTAGCCTTACATAAATGCATAGTTTTATTTGGTGCACAAGATAGAGAAAAACAGGCATTGATTACTTATGGATAGATAGATAGTGCATTCTGTTTCTTTGCAACAGCTGTTTTGGGAATTAATGTTTTTAGATTTATTGGTTAATATGGATGTTTATAAGCATGGATTTCCTGAGTTGAGATCAGTGGCAGAGGTTCTTGCTTAGTTTCAAATTATACTGCCACTCTGAGCTTGTAGAACGATTTTATCATCGTGTCATTTCACAATATTTTCAGGAAGTGCAAGAAACGTAGATGCTATAAAAAGCAACTGTGAAATATGTCTCTAGACTACAGTAGTTTGAAATTTCTCATGTCTTTGGCCTTAAAAGTGTATACACCTTCTGAAGAGTTCTTCTAAATCTTCCATCTTAAAATCATTTGACATGGTTGCCAAAGCAAGAGTTTCTGTGCTAGGAGAGGGCAAAACAGCCTTTTTGTCCCCAGAACTGTGCAGGCGGGATTGGCTATTTCTCTTTAGTGCCTGCTCGGCAAGGAGAGTACCAACTGTTGAAAGGACCCGGTCAGAAACTCTATGCTGTGGGGACAGCAAGAATCTGGAAGAAAGACTTCTGAGCTCAAGTTCCCAGTGGCATTTTTCTGCAGCTAGTGGTTGACTGTTTTCTCAGTCTTTTTCCTGTCACTAAATTTATCCAATCCTGAATTTACCAAATTGCCCACCATCGCTGCACAAAATTATGCAGCTGTGACAGTACGTAACACTTAGATATTTAATTGTTCTACATTGTATTTCTCCTTCCTATCCTGCGATAGTCCTATTTGTTTAGAAAGACGTGCAGTTTAAGAACCATGTACCTAGTGCAGGTCTCTCGTAGAACATGCATCCTTATTGGACGCTCTTTAGTAACTATAGTTTGTCAGAAAGGGCTAAGCACCCTGCCTTTTGAATACCCCAGTTCTTTCAAGGGGCCAGATGGGAACCCTAGAAAGCAAGGCATTCAAAAGCTCTTATTTCTCTTTAGATATGGATTTGAAAATTTGAACTTTTATCTTCCATTAACATTATTCATTTTTCAGAGAAAGAAATCTGTTATCAATAATAATTAAAGTTCTGAAAACAAATTTCTTGGTTAAGAAACCAGTAACTTACATTGGACTTAAGCTTGATATTGCACTGCTTAAAACATAGAGTTTGAAAGGCTTTATTTCAATTCAGGAAAAATAGTTTAAATTTATGGCTAGTGATGTTGGAATGCAAAAATTACTGATAAAGTGGGTTTTTTTTCCCTTTTGAAATTAAAACTTCTGGATATTTTTATTCCATTTCTTTTCTTATCTCTGTAAGTTAGATTAGAAACCTTGGATAAAGTAGTGAAGTTTTTAATTTAAATGTGCTTACTCTTGAAGTTTGTGTAAAGTCTCACTTTTAGGATAATTAAGAAAACTAACTTAAATTACTGACTTTAGATTGTATTAATCAAATTTTCATTAATCATTGCTGTGACTTGAACTATAAAGCTAAAAGGAAAATAAGATAAATGAGAGTGGTTTCAGTAAGATTTGTTTTATTACATGATCCATTTATTGCCCTCATCCTGATTTTTAGATTACAGATTTTCAGGAAAAAGTCCTTTACTGCCATTGCAAAATTATGGAGATTTTGAGCCATGGAAGATGGAAAAAAATGCAATTGTGAGTTGTTAAATCCTTAATGGTTTCTAATCCTTTGGCACTAATTTCGTTATGGATATTCAGACAATTCTCCATATATCTAGTCAGAAATTATGAATCTATGAATGTTTATGTTTCTGCTCCTCTAAAGATGTTATCACTGAGTAAACGCAATTTCTGAGAACAAAATCAGTGATGAGGGGACAGCTATTCACAGCGGAGCTTTGTTGATTTTTATTTCCAGCTTAACCAAAATCAAATAATGCTTTTTGCTTTATTGTTTTTGTAGAACTGAAAAGCAGACAAGGTTTCACATGTTTTAAGACAGACTGCATTATCCATTATGCTGGGCACTGAAAAAGGGTAAAGGAAATTGATGCCCCGGAATTCTCAGACTGTTATCCAGAGCCATGCAGGAGTTTGTCACCTTTCCTCCTCCTCTCTACCCACTGGCTGTCTCATTTAGCAGCTCTTGCATTCTCTCTGTGGTCTTCAAGACAGAGTTTTGTTGTGTTAGACACTAGCACGACATGACAAGGGATTGATCTTGGTCTGCTTTGAAATGCTGCAAATACAGTATAGAGATGAGGGTTGTTTCAAAGGTTTAATTGTAGATCACATATTTTTTGCCTTTGTTTATAATTTGTAAATATTTTGAAATTCTCATAAAAATGAGGATGTTTGCTTTCAAAAAAATATTATCTGTCTTTTTTTTCTGCTTGTTTTAATTTTATTTTATTTTAGGCTTCTCATTCAGTCCAGCATATCCTCGAGATGATTGAATTGCCCCGTAAATATTGCAGATTTTACTTCATGACTTTACGTGGGTGTGAAAGAGCAAAATGTTGGTTTTGGCATGTTCCTGAGCAAGGGGATGAAAAGGTAAAGAGATTTATTGAAGAAAGGAACAGATTGTAAGTGTGAACACTTTTTAAATGCAAAATGACATCTCCTTTGTTCATTTATATATGGAAAGGGAGTAAATTTCAGAGATTGATGGATCAAAAAAAAGTTCAGAAATTCTTCTTCTCAGTGTCTTCTAAAGTTCTTTTTTAAAACAAGATGGTAGAATTTTGAACTAGTGGATGAAATCAGCAAATCAGAAATCAGCAAAAGAGCAAGAATTAGGCCATACAAATATATAGTAGTAGAATGGGGAGATTCTGAGACATTTCTATCCCAAGCATTGGAGACCTGTAAGCAAACCCAGACTTTGTATGTATTCTTAAAGTCAAAAGCCATCTATGGTATATTACTTTCTGCAACTTTTGTGCGAGAGGGGCATGTTTGTTTAAAGATGCTGTGATCTCCTTAAATGGAGCAACAATTCTCATAATATTTGCAAGGAAAAATACTTCTCCAGTGCTGGGCAAAGTAGATGTGTTTTCAAACCATTTAACAAAGGAAGTATGAGTCTGTAATATTTCCAAGAACTCTGCAAGGCAAACTAATTGTGCTGTCATGTAATAAGATTTTGGAATTGGCTGTATGAAACCAAGACTTAGGTGGTTCTGTAAATCACTTGGAAGCAAACAAAAACATTAAAACAACTAAATGAAGACAAATGCTTAAACTTGTTCTCATCAGGTCTTATAAGATTTATTTCTTATCTGCCATCTTATTGGTGTGAGTACAATTTTCTCTTTGATGTCAAGAAGTAAGAAATTACAGAATGAAAAGGTAAAAAATAACTTGTGGTGAACCTGTTAGACATAAATACTAAAAAAAAAAAAAGGTAGCATCTAAAGGAGCTTATTCATCTCCTTGATATCTTAAATATACTATGTCAGAATTTTTAAAATGCATCAGTGTAATTTGGTTTTATTTTTCTTAATGTTTTCTCTTTTCCTTTTTATGTCTCAAAAAGGAGCTGTTTTTTTTTTCTAATGCTTTGTAACCCCTTTGAAAATTTATATGACAGCTTAAAAATACTAAGATCATTTGAGAGTAATTTTGTATGGGATGTTTTCCCTTTTCCTCAATTGTGAAATGTCTTTGGCAGGCTGCAGTGAATATCAGTAATTTTCAGCTAGTTTGTATGAATTATCATGGTATGAATTATCATGGTTTATAGTGCTTCATTATATACAGGCTCATTAAAGAATTAAATTATTTGCCTAAAACTATTAAAAATCCATTCCATTTGATTTTACTTGTGGTGGAGCACTCCAGCACACTTAGTGTTCTGCCCACCAAATCTAGCCTAACTTTCTTGGTAGTCTGGAAGTATACTTTGGGTTTTGTTTGTTTGTTTATTTATTTATTTTTTAAGAACTGTCCATTTAAAAATTATAATAGGCCAAGCACCTCATGGTGGCACCAAAGTACATAAATGGAATACAGGTAAAGCAGCAACAAAGTCATCTAGGCAAATGCAGGGGAAATAAATCTCTTTAGGAACTGTTATGCAGGCTGGTAATCCACTTGCTTAGTACTGTTTTCAGTGATGATTGTTACCAGAATTTGAAGAGAAATACCTTCTCCCATAATGGATATTCCTTCCTTTTCATTAAGTAACTGGTTGATGCTTTAAGGCATGACATACTAGGATTTAACACTATTCACAGTTGTGGTTGATCACATAACACAGCAGTGATTTAATTCATAAAAACATCATATGTGTTGAAAATCAGCACGCTCGAGCTCAGCAACTTCTACAAGTGACCAGTTTTTATTTCTTTTAAAAGGTGCCTTTAATTTCAAACAGTGACATCTCTTTTGTATTAGGCAAAGTAAACAAAACTGTTAAGACTGTGTTTTAAATACTCCCCGAAGTATTTAAAGGGGGAGGATCTTAACAATGTGTATCAGTATCTGATGGGAGTGTAAAGAAGATGAAGCCGGACTCTTCTCAGTGGTACCCAGTGAAAGGACAAGAGACAGTGGGCATAAATTGAAATTACAGGAAATTCAGTTTGGCTTGAATGACACTTCAGACTGTAGCATAGATAATAATTCCACAGTTAAATAAGTGGTTTGAAAACATGTCTTTATGCAAACTGTATTTCTCTGATTTTATTTTAGCTTTGTGTACCTTGCTCATTAACTTTTTTTGGACTTGTATCTACTAAAGAAACACTTACTTTTTGTGACTTCTTACTCTCTTTTTCCTTGATCCTACGAACCTCTAACTGGAAACAAACAGGATATAAAATAGGAAGGTTTCTATCTTCATTAATGTCTTGCAACTTCAGTGTATGCTTCTGTTGTGTTTTTCTTTTTAATCTGGCTTCCTAAAGAAATGAGACTTAAAGTTGCACTGTCTTTTTATTACTGTCTCTAACCGCCTTTAAATAATTTTTTAACCTTTTGGTCAGTTTTAGCCACATTTAGTATGGAGTGTGTGTCTCAAAGATGCCACAGGGTTCATAAACAGAATCTCTTGTAAAAAGGATCCTGGTTTTGATCTCACTGAGTGAAGGGCTGCAGCATGGGGTTTTCCCCGAGTGCACGCTGACTGGGAGATGCTGAAGGATTTCATAAATTCTGGTGCTTGTTCTGATTCAAGCACCTCTGTTACTGTAGTAGAACTATGTTTTACTGGACAGTCGGTTGCTTGTATAAGATACGCAGCCCTTTGTTATGGTTTTTATTAAATGGTCATGTTAAATGAGTTGTGGAATCAACTGATAGGTGACAGAATAGTGTGATCTACCTTTTGAAAATGGGAATTGTCTCCTTCATGTACCTTCATTCAAAATGTATTATGGTTAACTCAAAATTTAGAGATTCTCACATTTTTACATGGTCTGTAGGTTCAGTTACACCTTTTAAAATTGAAACAACTAAATCAACTGAAGCCTCCTAGAAGGTGTAAATGGATGACACAGTTTCTTTTATGAATGTAATGTAACATGTCCCATGATTAAATACTACTACAACTGGATTTTCCAAGCAATTTCACTAATACTTGGAACAGTCAGAGCTCCAGATGCAATCTTGGCTTTTTTTGGGAGTCAGTCCAAAGCAGGAGGAAAACAGATTCCAAAAGAAAGCAAACTAATTTACATACTGTAAGCATGTGCTAAAGTTTATTTTGGAAATGCCCTCAGCCACCTGGGATTGTAGATTTGGATTGAATGAGTTAACCCATTGCCAAGTGACACGGCATATATATTAATGATCAAAGATTCTACATGATCTTCTGAAAGGTATATCTCAGACTATAGTTCAACAACAGTATGACACTGTTGCAAAATAAAAACAATAAGCTTTATTTATATTCAACATACTTACATGTACAATTTTTGTGTTCTTGAGTTGATTATCTGAACAGGTAATGGTTTTAAAAAAAGAAAGATGTCCTGGCCCCAAGCCAGTATCTTCTGCTTTGATGATAATTCGTTTGCTGTGTAATAAACTCCGTGAGTGGGTCGGTCTAATTTTGAAGTTGCATGTAAAAATAAACCCGACTCAATTCTGTAATAACATAACTACTAATTTAGGGCGTTTTCTGGGTTTTTTTATTTTTCATTATTTCACCAAATAATATTAAATATGACCCATTTACATTGTTGCGCAGGAAGACTGTAAACGTTCCAGAGGTGACAGAGGGTATCTGAAAGGGTGGGTGGTTTTTTTCCTAACTTTGAATTCTAGGATTTAATCTCAGTAGTCTTTATTTCTTCATCTTCAGAGATGGAGCAAAATGTGTAAGTATCACAAAGCTGACAGCTTAAGATGGTAAGACAGGAATGTTCCAATACCAAACAACATATTAAAATATCTAGGTGTGGATTTTTTTTTTTAGTCAAGTGGGTCTGAGGTGAAATGATTCATTAAGTCAAGTTAGTTCTGAGTTTTTTCTTCTGTGTCCTTGAGTGATTCTTCATGACAATCAGTGTTACCAACTTCATTTCTAGATGATTTTTTGACTTAGTTGGTACATTCATGTCATTTTTGTTTATCATGTTTTTGCTTTCACGTTTTTGCTTCCCTGTCTCTGTTTGCATACAGTCTGCCACATTTATACTAATTCCAAAGTAACTGTATTTTCGAATTCCTTTTTTTGTTTGCTATGAGTATATACATCACACATGCATGCAGCTGTGGTCCCAGCAGCTCCTTTCCCAAACATTTCATCTACATTATTATTCTATTGGATTTGCTGTCTTTTTGACCTTTGCCTACAGACCCAATTACCTTCTTATACCATTTGTCAGTATGTATGGGTTAAATAGAAGCAATGTAAAGCTTGTTTCCTTATAGAACTTACGTTTGTTGATAGTTCTTTTGTTTGGCATAAACTGAGGTAACATTTTACTATGGATTAATTTTTCCTCTTTTTCTAGATTTGCATGGAAATACTTAGGACATACATTAGTATCAAAGAATCAGGCCTTCTAAAACGTGCAGGTATGATATAGTAGTAGTTTTTTATGTATCTTTGATACCTCGTTTATTTAAAGTAAATTAAATAGGCTGTCAGGAGAGAAATGGGTGCCACTTCAACAGTGAATAAGAAGTTCTGATTTCGAAGGAATACATCCAATCCATGTGTTTTTTCATGTTCCAACTTCCCATTGAGGCTAGGTATTTAGATATGCAGTTATCTCAGGAGGTTGTTATAAATTTTACTTCCACGGAAAATTAACTTTGCCTGAATGAAACTAGACTTGAGAGTAGAAATGAGTTACTGGGGCAGGGGGTAGGTTTAATAGAACCAAAATTTTCTAAAGGCACTGCTGAACACCCTGGCCCAACATCACAAATCCAAAAACTTTAGAATTAAGGTCTTTAAATGAAGTGCTCTTACAGCACCCAAACAGCTTCAGTTTAGTCCTTTCACATTACCACTTATGCAAACAATCATGATTAACACATTTTAGGGACTGTAGTTGATTCAGATCCATCTGAGCTTTTGAGTTCAGTCAGAAAGGGCTAAATTTTACTCTGCACAGTCATTCCTTTTGTACCTGTCCTGAGCAGTCTTTTAAGTTTTTGAAAGCTTATTAGTGTAGCACAACGTGAACGTGGGATCCAGTTGCACCCTGTCTAGTAATGTTCGCATGCTGAAATACTGAGCGTTGTAATGCAGATAACACTGGGTACCAGCAGGCTACAGTACATGTCTATCAAGGCTAGCACTGGAACGGGTTGTAAGACCATCCACCATGATAACACTGCATGTCCTAGAGCTTCATGTCTGGAAAGGCCTTACTACCTTGATGCGCTTACCAAATCTAACCTGGGTTTGTGCATTTCTCTCATGCTGCACCAAATCAGCTAAGCTTTCTTGAAACCTACAGGGCTTATGGTGTTCGGCTCCATGACAGGAGATATTTCAGAATAGTCAGTCTGGGTCTAGTAAGGTTAGACTGTATTCAGGGTTAGACTGTATTCAGACTGGATCCTGTCACCCATTTTTCTCCATATCTCTGTCCCATAATATCCTGGATAATTAAGGGTTGTTACACTGCATTTAACATTTAAGGAAATAACTTCTTTAAATAGTTAGCATCAGTTCCCCCAAAGTGAAATGAATTTACTTGCTTTTTCAGTCCAAATATTTGTGAAATATTACAGAGAAGTTACTCCTGGTGTGGATTTTGCTTTTCAAGTGCTGAATGATCTTCTGATTTCTTTGCTCAAGAACTGTTTGTTGAGGGAAGTATTTCAGATATTGAATGTAACTGTACAAATCAATACACTGGTAGGTGACTTTGTAATATTTTTAAAATCTTTGATCCATAGTTTCTTAGTTTTTTGAGTACTATGCCATTTGTAGTAATAAGTTTGTTTTTAGTGTGCTACTCAAACCTTGGGGGGAAAAAAGAGCTATTCAAAAGTTCTGTTATAAAAACCCTAAGCTTTCTAATTGAACAGAGTTGCAAAACTGATTGTGCTTTTTTGTCTAAATTAGCCAGCTGTAGATGTTCTTCTGAAAGTTTTTGAGCATGTGGCTTCTTTGAATATAAGAGACGCTGTGCCTACATTAATCAGTACCTTTTGTAAGGTATGAGTTTGATTGTACTACTGCTTCTTGTTGGAATTTCTGAAATACCTTGCCTGTTTTAAAACGCAAACATATCACTTTAATATTATTTCAGTACTATTTTTTGAAAGTTATATTGTGACTAGCTGAATTTGTGGTACGGGTTTCCATTTATCCCTTTTTTTTTTTTTTTTTTTTCTTCCCCCTCTTTGATATTACAGCTCATTGATGCTGGTATGTTCCTAGAGTTTGAACATTTTGACTGTATTATTAAGTTCCTTCACCAATTGCAAGTTTCCAGTCAGGAAATAAATATTGTTTTGAACATAAAATCCAGGTATGTCTTTAAGGAGCTGTTTTATAATTATATCTGTCTAGTTCCTTCTTCAGGTTCTGTTTTCATAAATTTATGTAGAAACTTCAAAAGGCAATTAGAAAATGCAAATTTAGTGTTTTGGGTGGAAATAATATCATATCATACCTAATTGTATTTTAAAGTGCTGTCAATCTACTGTGCTTCAAAGGTCAAGGATTGTTAAATCAAAACTTAGATTCTGACCGCAGTTATGATTAGTTTTTTCCATATTGATCATCATTGTACAGTCTGTTCCCAGCTGTGCTGTATAACTGTTGTCAAATTAGAAACATCATGGTTTAATATATCATTTAGGCCTGCATAAGCAAACAGTACTTCAGCAATAAACAACCCTTCTAGGCAATAAGAGGATTAGTTATAATCTGAAGTAGTTTTCTAGTTTCATTTACTGTGCGGCTGCATAAACACTTGTGCAAACACAACTAGGGAGGAGGGTCATTTTTTAAGGACTGCTGGATCATGCTGGGCAAAATGTGAAATCACAGCCCAAATCTGTTCGAAAAGTGTTGATATCTCCCTATCACTTGCACAAGATTGTGATCCTTTTTTTTTTTTTTTAATGTCGTCTGCATCATACACACACACGCAAGTTGAGAAACTAGATTTGCGATTCATAAAGCAACCTTTGATTCTTAGAGGAAACCAAATATGCAGCATCTACTGTGTGAAAACAAGCCATCACTGTTTCAAGTGAAAGCACTGTAGAAATTATTTGCTGCTTTTCATACTTTTCCCATAGAGCACCTTTTAGCCACGGCTCTCAGTGTTTTACCAGTGCAACCTACCACACATGTTGGAGGTAATTTTTATCACTTTTCAGATCAGGAATCTGATTCACAAAGGAATGACCCCTTCCAGGTTGCCTCAGTATGTATGTGTTTTCAGCACAAACTGAGAAACAGCCTGTATCTATGAAGACTGAGCAGCTGTGGTACTTCAACTACATGTGTTAGCTCAGTCATACGTAGGTTATGTATCACGATAGCATCGCGCTGGGTACGTGTATCCATTGTTTCAGTTGCAGCATCAGAATAAAGTGTTATGCTGCTAGGTATTTGAAGCTGAACAGCACTTTCATGTAATTAACTTTTTTCTTTTACCTTTATGTCACAAATACATACAATACAGTTCTGCATTTACTTAATGGATTGCAAGTCTTATTCATACCTTTTCAGTTACATTTCTACTGAGACAAGGAAATACGTTCTTTGAAAATAGCTCTGCTCAATTATTTGCTTGATACATGTACTGACTTCCCTTGGCATGATTGTAAATATCTGTTTTCAGTGTCCAGTGTGCATAGTGTGTAGTAAATAGGATCAAAAATCACATCAGTTTTTAGTTCATATGTGATAATTTGTTGATCACTTTCTGCTAGTGCACAGTTTAGTTCCATAGGCTGTGTTAAAATTAAGTATTAATATTCTTTTTCTTATGGAAGATTTCAGGAAAGACATTTTGAAAAGAATTGGCTTTTTGACTTCAATTTGGCAGTGGCTGAAATTCAGGTACAATATGTGCATTCTTCAAGCCTGTTGGAATACTTAAACCATGACTTCTTTTAAATCTACAAGAAATAGTAATTTCTCCATCATTTAAAATTAGTGGGCTTTATTATTAAGTATATTGAGATTATGATAAAATATTTTTATGCAAAGCCATGTTTGGGAAAGATTAACGTGCAGGGGGAAACTGTCTTTGGCTTTTCTGTGATGTCAGTAATTTAATTTACATACTTGTAGTTTTTATCTTGGTTTTGCATCTAATTCAAAGATTTTATAATTTTAAGCTATTATTTCCTATGCCTTACATTTGTTGTGCTTGTAATTGGTAGTGGTACATCATTCCTCATGAAAAAATTATTTAATATATTATTTAACAGATAGAATTCATCTCTACTATAAAAGGGCACAATTGTAAAAGGCTGTAATTGGCAACACTAAGCAGGTATTTTAAAGAGTAAGAAAATATTATAAAAAAATCTTTATTTGGACACTTGAATCTTTCATATTCAAGGGCAGATTACTTATTTGGCACAATTATAATATAGTTTACATATTACCACACTTACTGCACAGATCCTGAGACCAAAATTTAAGAAGTGAAGAACTAGGACTGATTTTTTTACTCCTTTAACACCAAAGTCATCAAGTGATCTGGCAAGCAAAAGACTAATTCGTATAGAAAATAACCATCAATTTGGCATGCATCATGCAAAAAAAAAAAAAAAGACAGTAAGATACTGGATGACTGCCAGTTCTTAAATAGGATGAATAAGTTATGAGCTTCCTCAGTTGGGGTCATGACATAAATGGAAAAAGGATTTTAATTTCTTGAGGGACAAAAGTTATTAGCAGTCCATGCAAGTTAGGCAACACATAACTGTGCCATACTGAACACAGACGTTCTTGGCAGTAGCATTTCATCTGCTTTAAGTCTATCCCAGGTGTATCTCTTGAATTTTAATGCACTTTCTGCTTGGTGTTCTGGAAGCAGGTTCACTTATATTTATCCCTTGCCTTCTTCACAGCATTGCAAGGAAAAAAGTGATTGGACCAAGCTGGGAGCTTTGTATGTTAATGCAAGAACTGGATGTGAACATTTTGATGATCTTCAGAAATTGTCTTTATGTATTGCTGAAATACTAACCAGAGATTCTGAGACAGACAGACCAGGAGTTCCTTTTTGTGATTTTGCTGATGCAGGTAAAATTAAGATGCAAGAAATGCTTTTAGTTCATCCCTATTCTTTTTAGAGTTTTTAAAAGAGGTAAAAAAACAAATTCGTGTACTGTTTTCTGAATATTGGTTAATTTTATGTGTTACAATATTCAGAATTTCTTGAGGTGCAAATACAATCAGGTAAAATGCTCAGTAGAAGCCATTTTTTATTAGAAGTAAAATCCACAGTGCTTATACTTAAAGTCAAAGAACGTTCTGAAAGAAGAACATTTGAGCTTTGTGAAATCAAGAAGAGAAACCAAAATTGGTGGTCTTTTAATAAGAATGTCCTATTCTCAGGACAAAGGCAAACGTATTTAAGTATTGTCATGTGAACTGTCACACTTTTTGTAGCATAAATGAACTTTAGAGCTGTAAATAGAGCTATATATATAATTGTATATTTCAGAATACATTGAACAATTGAACAGGGTTACATCATGTATATCATTTGTACTTTTTTTGTTGTTGGGGTTTTTGAGAACCAAGAATTTCTGCAAGACCTGGGTCCACAAAATGTCTTCAAGCTTTTTAATAGTTCTAGCAGGTTTTCTCACCCCTTTCCTCCCTGTGCTTTTTCATTTACATGTCTGTATCATTCTTCCTAATAAGCTTGCAGAAAACTGAGGCTCAGTGAAGTGTCACTGGGATATTAAAGCGTTTTATAATGGATGACTCAAATCTTTTTCAACCTGTATTAACTACTAAAACATGATGAATATTTATTCCAGATATGTGACATGACCTTTCTGACCACAGACTTTCATATTATAAAACAGCTATCACAGCTTCCAGTTGTGACACAGACAGATTTTGGTGGGGCTTGGAACTTAATCTGTCGTCCCGAGAGCAGTGGTCTCCAAACTGATAGGGACCTCTATCAGTAAAAAACTTTTTACTCACTCAAGTGGTTGTATAATATGGTTGGAAAAACTTGTCATTACTCAGTTCTGTAATTGCCAACATTTCTTCATGGTGCCAGAAAATGCAAAGCTTACTTTACAAATAATGATGTTACTAAATTATGCCATTACTTGGGCAAGCATCTTATGGATGAATTAGAGTACTATGAAATAGTGTCTGAATAAATTACAGTTATTTACCCTACTTCTGGTGTTAAGAAGTTACTACTTTTAATGGCAAATATTTCAGAAAGTATAGTTAATATTTTCACAATGACTGTTTTTCAAGTGTGTAATTTCTTTAAAACTGCATTTACATGTAAAATAAAGAAAAATTTTTTTTTTCTCTCTAGTAATAAAAAATTCACGACATAATGAAGCAGACAGAATTTTCATTGGAAGGATTGGCATAAGTGTAATGTATTCTTATCACAAAGTACTGCAGTGGATAAAGGTATACTGGACTATAGGAACCTGACTGGAAGAAAAGGAATGAGTCGTTTCTTTTCTAAATGTTAAACTGTTTTTCTCTAGTTGAATGTCTGGATCGGCCACCTGCCTCCCCACCATCTTTGTACTTCTTTATTGTCCAACTCAAAGCATTTTATTGTGCCTTTCTGAGCAGTAGTCTTCTGTGGAGCCTGTCATAACTTTCTCTTGCAACCTAGAAACTTGATTGTTCAGGTTCAGCTTTTGACTTTTCTGAGCTAAGGATGAATTTGGATTAGGAGACAGGTCTTCCTGAGATTCTGGGGCAAGGTGCTGATGGGATCGTTTCCCAGAAATGCCACTTTCTTCCATCTGGCAATACTGCTGTATTCTGAGACCTCTCAACTCAAGCAGTATTTCCAGAAGTTTGAGTGGGCCCTTTCCTGCACTGGTACTTCTGAACCTGACCTCAAATGGAATGGATAAGGCCAGGAAGACAGAAGAGAAGCATAGCAAGGCTGCTACTGCACTGGGTGAACTGCTCATTCCCCAGAACATTACTAGAAGTGCCTTTCTTCCATTGAATCTAGGGTTCTAAGTTCTATGAATCTTGCAAAGACTTGGACCTCACAAAGAAATACCCTTTACAATCTTTTCTTTGCTGTCAAATATTACAAAGGGACAGGGTTAAGAGACTAGACCTTTCACTGGATGTTTTATACTCTTTAGGCCTCATGCAATATTGATCATTAAGTTCACTGCAGCAAAATCCATTTCAATGTTAAATTCATCTTTTTCTTCCTGGAAGGGAGCAGTGTATACCAAGCTGGATCTTCTATATAATGCAACATGACCAGTGACAACATAAGAAATTATATAAACCACCAATGATTTTAGAGTGTATTTTGGTTAGTGATAACATTCTGAAGTTACCTTTGTGTCAATGGGCCTGATCCTTACACCTAATAATTATGCTGTACTGGGATGTTCCTCATCCCACACAAGATGATTTCCAGCATGTATTTTTATGAACAAAAGCACTCTTCTTGTCCCCTTTTGTCTCTTGGGTTTTTTTTGTGAATTACCATTGAGGAACCCTTTCTAGTTTTCATCAAAGGATTAAAATGTCTTTTGTACTATTGTCTCTAGGGGATAATGTTCAGGAATTCTGTTAGGTAAAACATGTGCACTGCTCAGTCTGTTTCCAGGGTCAACCCAAGTCCCAGGAGGTATTTGATAGAGGTGCTTAGTCTAGAGGCAATACACCTGTTCTGATGAATCATTAATTTTACAGCATCAGCTTGTTGAGTTGAATGGTCGTTAGGAGGTCCCTATCAAGCTGCAGCATAGTGTGGTACTGTTCAGGAGTAAAGGGAAGGAGAGAGGGTCTTTGCGTTAGCACTTTTGTTGTACTGCACTAGAACTTTTTGAAGTATTTTTGTTCCACAAAACTCAGCAGTTAGAACAGTTACGATATTCCTGGCGATAGAAGAGGTAGTCTAAATTTTTGGCATTGAGGAGTGGTCAGTGCTCACATGCCCATCAAAGAGCTTAGTTTGGCTTGGGTTTTGGCCATCTTCTTCAGCAGAGAGAGCATATATTCAGTGTTTGTA